TGGCTCTAGGGATGACGAGCTTCAACTTATCTCCTCTGGTATTAGACGGAAGAAAGGAGAAGAACCGTTGCCTGTCAATCACTACCCTGCCTGTGAGAATTTTGAAAACTGTCAATAGATCGATTCTCTTCCTCCTACAAAGAAGAGAATCAAGTCCAAGCATCCTATTTCTGATAATGCCTCTAGGAATAGCATTATAATTGAAACCAGAGCGCGGATTAACACCTTTCTTGTAAAACTATTCTGGACAGCCTCTAATCTAGAAATAGACTTCTTATTATGGGGAAAGAAAACCGTTGTCCCGTATTCCAGAATAGGACGAATATAGGTCTTGTAAGCCTTGATTAGAATACATGGATCCTTCGTATACAAGCCCCTAAAAAGTTGAAAAAGTCTAATTTCAGCTTTATTTGCTATGGCCGAACAGTGAGATTCAAAAGTCAAGCTCCTATCAATGATGAACCCAAGGTCTCTGACTTCTTCAACCTCCCTGAGTTCAACATCTTCTATGTGATAACGAAAGTTATTCTGAGACTTCCCCAAATGAAGCACTGACACCTTGTTACAGGCTAGAGGAAGGTCCCATAGTTTGGACCAATTAACGACTGTGTTGATAGCTTCTTGAATCACTATAGTATCAGACTCCGCAGCTAACGACTTATAAATCTTAAGATCATCAGCGAAAACCTTACAACTAACCCGTTTTCCTCAATAATACCTGGAAGGTCGTAAGTGTAAACGCAGAATAACACTGGTGATAGAACACCTCCCTGCGGAACGCCACTGGGAGCCATTCTAACACCAGAATATGTTAACTCTTACTTGGAACGAACGGTTAGTCAGAAATGATTTAAGCCATGTTATGATCCTTTGGTGTATGCCAATGTGCTCAAGCTTAATCAGTAGCTTGGTATGGCTCACTTTGTCAAAAGCTTTCAAAAAGTCAAAGTAAATAACATCAACGTTCTTTTTGTTATCCAAAGAACACGTCCAATCATTCAAGGATTCCAACATCTGAGTCACTGTCGACCTTGATTTCCTAAATCCATGCTGGCAATCAGGTAAAATTTTATGGTTCTCCAAATGTTCGGCAATTACTCTTTTCATTACTTTTTCGAAGGCTCTACAAAAAATAGAAGTAATGCTAACTGGCCTGTAATTGGTTGGATCCCTGCTTAGGATCCTTTTAGGGATGGGAACAACATAAGAGTGCCTCCATCTATCTGGTACCTCAGCTCGAAAGAGACTCAGATTGAAAATGAACTTCAAAGGACTGATAATCGAAGGAAGCACTTTTCTGACAAACCGAAAAGGTATTCCGTCCGGAGTACAGATGTGCTAGACTTATTTTAGAGAGGACCTCGAAAATCTCTTGCTCCCGGAACCAAAGTGAGTCTTGCATTCGGGTGTAAGATCCGGGCAATACAAGGTTCTCACCCACATATCATTGTTATCCACGTAAACCTTGCCGAAAAGGTCAGCGAAATATTCAGCTTTATCGTTGTCAGAAACCAGAGATGATCCGTCGGGTTTCAGTAAAACCGGTAGCTTTTCGTTAGGCTTAAACTTATTGGTGATGTACTTGAACATGGCAAACTTATTACCATCCTCTATGGTTTTCATCTCTACTAAGCAACTGAACTTGTACATCTTTTTTCGAATTTGCTTGCTAAAACTTTGTATGCATCCCAGTCACTAGGATTTTTAGACAACACCGCTGTTTTATAAGCCTTCACCTTCTTATCAAAAAGTGAGTGAAGAAACGATGGAATGTGCATTTTGCACAAACTGACTTTACGCAAGGGGACAAACAAGTTAATACATTGCTGGAGGACGAATAAGAACATTTCATACATGTCATTAACATTTAAGCCGAAGAAGGAGCCATACCAGTCTACTGAGTCCAAAAAACTTGAGATTTTTGAAAAGTCAGCTCTTTTGAAATCTCTTCTAATGACATATTTTTTCTCATAACAAGGTAAGCTTAAACAGAACTCTATACTAGCGTGGTCACTCGTACCAAGAGGAGGTTCAACCTTTACTCTGGTAACGAGGGACTCCTCATTACAGAACAAAAGGTCGAGAACCGTCCCATCTCTTGTGGCAGACCTTATATACTGGTGAAAGCTGTGATTCCTCACCATATCTAAAAACTTTTGAGTGACCCCTGTACCTTGGTACTCAGAATTGGTCCAGTCAATGCCCGGAAAGTTGAAATCACCAGTGAGGATACAAGTCTCAGAGCCAGTACAAAGATCACTTATGCATTTAATCATCTTCTCGGACTCGTCACATGGGCAGCTAGGAGGTCTGTAACAAAGGATTATTCTGCATTTTCCTTGGTACAAATGAATGTCAGCCGCAATGAGTTCATACCCATTAGGAATAGACTCACTAAAGACCAACATAGGGCACAAAGTGTAATTGATCAGTACGACTCCTCCACCCTTCTTTCGCTGACGGTCACATCGAAAGACTTGATAACTAGAGGAGAGATCTCCGAGAAGGCTAGAAAGTTCGGTTCTACTTTTTAACCAAGTTTCTGACAGAGCTACGACCCCATAATCAGACCTTGAAAGCAAGATATTTAATGGATTGAATATTCCTCACTAATGACCGAATATTGCAGGAAAAACACTTAGTGTTACGACGAATTTGGAAGGGACAGTATTGGTCCTCAATAGGCTGACCACGAAACCGAGGAGGAAAAGCTAGTTTCCCTTGTCTCGGCAATATCAAGGAGTAGAGGGTCTTCAACGAGTAGGAAGAATCTACACTACCACTGAAGCAACACTCGATGCGAACTATCATGAGTAGAACCTTTGCGAATCTCTCGTCTTTTCAGCCTCTCCTCGACAGGGAGCGATTCCCTGAGGAAAACTCCCCTTCCAGGGAAGGTGCGGAGACGAGGGGCCCGCTTTACAGCAAGTTTTTGGAATTTCGAACACGGTAACACCACTTTAATTAGCCTGCTACGACCTGGTATCACTCGACCGAGCCTATAGACGGCAACTGGTAACAATCAACTTCTAGGTGCGATAAGATATTAAGTACACTTTGAAAATCATACTGAATACGACCAATGACATTGCTATTATGGACCTCCGGCACACCACTAATGATTATCGATCGTTTCATTTCAAATTCATTGCAAGAGAGGGGCTTACTATTCGAAACAACGGCATCGGAAACATTTGAAGCTTCTTTCAACTCATATCTAGACAATCGATCACGCAAATCCTTATTTTCTTTTTCTAAATCTTGATAGGATTCAAGTTTTTTACGAAGAGAAGTGTTTTCTTCAATTACGGCACTTAGCTGAGTAGCAATAGAGAGAAGTAGCTTTTTGACACAATCAGGAACATCCTTAGACTCATTGACTTGTTTGAGCACCGGCACAAGATCGGGCGAAGAGGTAGCATCCTCAGGAGAGATAACACGTGGTCGTTTGCCGGTCTTAAAAAGATGAGAAACCGGTGTATCCATAGAGATCAAGAAATTGATAGGTCAAAAGAAATCCAATATCCAATATCGAGATTGACGCGATCGATCGCGGAATGAAGTAGTTGCGAAATGAGAACAATTCACCTGTATCTGTCGCAAATGAATACCAAAGCCACTACTGCTCCCTTGCGATAGAGAGCAACAACGAGAACGAATTTGACCGAAAATAGTAGCTGATAAGGACCGTAGTGAAGAGTGAATTGCAGTAACGAATATAAGCGACAGACACCTTAGAACGCCGCCGACCTTTTTATCCGTGGACGGATTTCGCTCAAATGTTGTATCATAGGGTAGTTTGACCGCTGATACTGAATCAACATTCCTTAACGCGAAACTTCCTGCCCGCGCCACAGGCGCCAGTGATCTGGGGTATTTTGGCGCCAACGGCTGTAGCGCGGGCGCTAGGAGGTTTCGGGCCAAGCAAATGTGATATGCGTGTTCAGTGGGTCAGACTACCTCTGGGAGCAAGTTTTCCAGCAAATTTGGTGATTTAGGGTATTTTGGCGCCAGCGCCTGTGGCGCGGGCGCCAAGGGATTTCGTGCCGAGCGGTGTAATATACGTATACAGGGGGTCGCTGTCAAAATCGCCGTAACAATTTTCACGCCAATTATGCGAAGGCCGAAAAAAAGTGCGATCAAACATGGCCTTTATACTTCGAAAAGATTTGCGGGCGGGCAGTAATGGGATACATGAGGTGCGACACGAGCGGTGATGGTAAGTATTTCTTGTGTAAGCTGTTACTCCGTATGTAGAAAAAGCCTTACGGAGTCCACCGACGCGACTTTTTCTCTTAATCTGGAACATTCCGATTCGCGTTGTCCATCAGAATACCGGCGCGATAGCCATCCAGGTGAATCTTTGTAGAAGCTGATATGGCCTCATATCAGGCAGTCTTGTACAAAAAGTGCTTTGGGAAACTTAATCACATACGGAACGACGTCAAAGGCCTTCATATTTGCTTCCTTCTCGAAAAAGTCCATGAGGAGCAGAAGGACCTTTCAGATTTGGTCAGAATCTGAATTATTGAGACAGAGTCCATAAACATATTATTTATTGGGTAGGTTCTGACTGAAAAGGTCGAGCCGGTAATAATTGCTCCAGTGGAGTAGATCTGTTTTTCAGGACCAGCATAAGAGCCAAGTTCTTTTCTCTGCGGGCTGCTACGGAATTTACTAGGCTCACCAAAAAGTTTTCTACGCCCAGGAGCATAGCTCACTTGAACCTCGCTATGCAGAAGTATTACGCTTAGTGGTTATTGCCTCCCCCCATCCCTATGCAAGATGGATATTGATCCCCTTATGGCTGATCAATGCAAGTTGTCTTTTCCTCTATTCTTTTCTCTTTTTCTCTCATTGTTCATTTTTGTTACAAGTTATGGTTGAGTTTGATGTTATTACTATTTTGAATTTATGTTACGGCAACTCATGTACTCATGTACTTGCGTGCATGTAATAAATCTAAATCTAAATCTAAATTCTGGATGGTTGGGGCAGTAAAGGGTAAATAGTGCCGTCAGCGTCTAAAAGATGGTGGATTGTCTGCCAAATACAAAGCTTTACTGCCAGACTAAACATGTTTTGGCTAATTGTTCATGATTTATCACTAGTTTCTGATACTCCAACCTTCACAGATATTTCGAACTAATCTCCGTCGACCGGTATTCTACCTAGCTGCCCTAGTTCCCTGCCTTCGGATTCCGTTAAGGTAACACGCGTTCACGATAGAAGCCCTAAATTATTTCAATATTGTTTCGCTAGTAATTTTAATTTTCCTGTTTCCTCTAGAGCCTTCTTTTCAGAAAGCTCTTCATTGCTGCGGCTCCTCTAAGGGAAAGCAAAGTTCCTGCTCTCTTCCAAAAGATCTACAAGACTATCGACGAGAGGATTGAAGCCCGGGTGAGTTTTGCTTGAGTGCAGCTCATAAATAACACCACAGAGTTATGTCTACCGTCTCGTTGGCCTCGGGCGCCGGAGCCTTTCAGGGGGAAGGGGCGGAGGAGTTGGATTTGGCGCGACGCCAGCTATCTCTTCACCAACTGTGGTCGGCGGAGACCTCTTCGCAATTGGTATAAAGCTAGCTGGCGCTGCGCCAAACCCACCGACCTTTCACCCCTGAACGCAACAGCGGACCCACGGAATAAAACTCTTCAGGCCGAAAATGCCGCACAAGGTATAGCATCACAAGAGCGGACAGACTTCATAGACCTGTTTTTGGACGCAAGAGCCGAGCAAGATTTTGACAACAAGGCAGAGTTCTCGAAAGACAGGAGTTCAAGTAAGGTTTCAGCAACCATTGTAGCTTTTATGAATGGGAAATCATATTTTCTCAATTTCTTTCTAGGTGTCGAAGCATTTGACCAGGGAGGAAATTACCGCTCAATGCTTCGTGTTTCTTCTGGCAGGTTTCGATACCACCGCCACCTCCTTGGCATTTGCTACCCATCTGCTGGCTAAACACCCTTCGGTCCAGAAGAATCTTCAAGAAGAAATTGATCAGCACTGTAATCGTGAGGTTCGTGTCAAAGCTCAAGATACCTTATAACCCCTTTCGATAGCCGGGGCTAGTGCGGAGTTCGCTTAGAGGCCTACGTCGCGCGACGAAAGCGGTTCTGCTAAAGGTGAGAGTGGTTATTCTACTAAAGGTGAGAGTGGTTATTACAGAAGCTGCTGCTTAGTTATGGGCAAAAACCTTGACAGTAGGCGGGACCCGAACCTGCACGTTACGCCTACCGGACTACGTATCCGTTGCGCCACCAGGGCCGCTCGTACCCTCTTAGCTTTACTCAGACGATGCCTTTAGGCCGTTGCAAGACAGTTTCACCTAGGTCAAACTTTTGACGTAGAATTACTACATTGTGTCGAGTCAGAGGGTGGAGCTCACTAATGGAGAGTACCTTCACGATTCTGAGCTCTAACACAGTACACTGCTGCACGGTTCGGCTTGGAGGGAGGGGAGGGGGGGGGGGAGTATATTTCGTTTTTTTTGCTACTTCCCTTCGACGCGTCGAGCCATCAAGTGGAGAGCTGTGGAATCTTGTGAAATGGCCAGGAAGAGATACCCCAAGCCGAACTGCGCCTGCACGATTCCTTCTGCGAGATCCACCTACATTTGCGATACGCAAGGGCATACCCGAGTGCAATGATGCAAAAAAAGTTTTTCAGTCGATCAGCTATGAAACCTTGACAAGCCTGAGATACCTGGACGCCGTTATCAAGGAAACTCTGCGAATGTATCCGTTAGCAACTGTGTAAGAACTGAGATGCCTACTCTACTTAGGCCATTATTTCTCCCCAAATTTTAAATTTGCGAATTAAGACCTATTTCAGCGCAAATTCTCGTCGTTGTATGAAAGCTACTACTCTTGGAGGAGTTCGAATCCAAGAGGGCGAAAATGTATGCGCCGATACTCTCACAATCCACTTCAATCGAGAACTTTGGGGGGACGATGCTGATGATTTCCGACCGGAAAGGTAAGTGTTGTCGAGTTAGGGCAGCAGAATTGTCTCAACCACAGACGGAAACGGATGGGAGAAGCCCGACAGCAGATACGCCATTCTCTGCTTTTACAAATATGCACAACGTCACAAAATGGTGTTCAATCCTAACCAAAATTGAGGGCGTAGGCAGCTGTTTCGCGTTCCTGTCGTCTTCCCAGTACAGTTGATTACAATCATAAAGACAAGTACTGCGACAGATACTTTTTGCGACTGTTCTATGCGTGTAAAATCCTCACGTAAAAGCGAATGCTTGTAAGAAAGCAAATGGAGTATATCGTGCGCCACAAACGGGAAAACTCGCGAGCAGAATACTACACCTCCTCCCATCTTACCTTACACTTTCTCAGGGTTTTCGTAATCTCTCGACTTCATACCAGTTTTTCCCGCATTTCCGAAGAATTTTCCAAATATTCTACTTTTTCTGCAAAATTTTGCTGTCTAAAATACTTTTCTTGCTTATACCCAAAATGTGCTTCAATTGGCACCTTCAGCTCTTCACCGTCAGGAAACGCTTTCCACGAAGAACTTTTTTAGGGCTGGGAACAAGAAAAAAAATCACTAATCATTTTATCGATTTCCTTTTCATTAGTTTTTTTTCTCATTTTTCTCGATTTTTTCAATCAGTACTAACTTTCTCAACATTGGCGAATCAGTCATTCTGGTCTTCGTCCACCAAGGGAAACTAGAATAGCATTGATGATAACTATATCTATTATATGTATATCCTCAGGAAGTGCTCTTACCTCATGAAGTAGTTTAAATCCCTTCGTCGCCGCTAAAGTACCCCGGTACCGAGAATACTTTGAAGGGCTCTCGTAGCTACTGTTACGCTCCATCTGTACGTTCCAGCCCATCAGACACCCCTCCCCTTTCGTTGTCGAAATCTGGAGCTAGACTGGAGCTGGGAAGGAGTAAATTTTTGACTTGCGGTTCCTACGTATAGTTAATCAGAATCAGAAGCCCACTACTAGAAACAGAGCCGACGAAGAACTGTCTGTTTTTAACACTATGAACTATCTAGGATTCCTTACTCCATAAGCGGAGCAGATGTTCTTAGCTGCATCAGAGGCTTTCCAGCAGCAGGTGCTTCCAAAATTCTATTTCCAGATGGCTTGAGCAGTCCGATCGTCCATCGGCTGCATTCCTGTCATTTGGCCTCGGCCCAAGGCAGTGCATAGGAATGCGGCTTGCTCTGATGGAGGAAAAGCTAGTGCTCGCTCATCTCCTCCAACGATACAATATCGTTGCAACTTGTGATACTGAGGTGCTTACTGCTTTACTTGTCAAGAGTTTTCTTCCGAAAATGGCGGAACATAAAAGTTTTTCGTTTCAGGAGGACCTTGTCCCTCACAGGTTCGATGACATTCGCTCCGAAGTCTGTTACCGTTCAACTGCAACGGAGGTCTCGCCTCTGAATATGTATTTAATTTGTATGTATAAATATTCTGGGGAAAGTGTCACCTGCCAAACGTTTTATAGATGTTTTCAAATTAATTCGATTGATTCAAAAATTGATTCTGATGGTGTGGGCGACCGACATACTAGGCCAGTAAGTTGAGCTCGCACAATTGAGGAAAGCACAAACTTGGAAATCGCATAAGTAACAGCAGGTCAACTCCCTAAACTGACGACGCAAACATTTTGGGGATCGGAGCGTGGAAGGGATATGTGGCAAGACAATTCTGACTCGCTGCGCAGGTGCGCATGATCAGCAATTCCTCTTTGGCGCACAAATTGGCGACGAGCTACGATTGTCTTGAACGTTTTCTGTCTTCGGGAGTACGTTGATTTGCTCAGGGACATGGTGCTCACCATGCCGATAGACATAAGTATAAATATAATCCCAAGAAAACAAAAACGAATTGAATTAATTGAAACCATTGGAACGAGGCCCTCATAGTGCCCGGTGAATTTCTGTAGCTTACTGTCATGCCACTGTCAATCATCACCATAAATTTCAGCATGTCGTCATGTCAACTTCAGCACATTCCACTACAAGGGTGAGAGTAGTAACGCGGAAATTGGGATGTAAAGGGAAAGCTGGTGGTAACGAGGGTTGACCCCTTCCAGCGATAAGCCGCTAGTTGAGTGCGAAACAAGTCACGCACCGCCTGAATGAGGACGTCCCAAAATAGGGGGAAACGAATTGGAGGATAGTAATACCCGGGTGTCGTCCTCATAATTCGCCCGCGGTGTCTTCAATGTGCAAAACTTGCGCGGTACGAAGATCCGTAGCTAAACCCGCTATCATCGGTAAAGAGCAATCAAGTCAAAAGTGATAAGGTTGCAGATAAGCAGCGCTTAAGGTCATCGACAGGCATGTATGTAGCTGGACGACCTCAAGCGCGGACGAGTATGGAGACGGCTACCAGCTATCACGCAGCCCCGATCCCGTGCACTTTTTCTAAAGTAAGTGCCACGCTACTGTAGCTCCGAACCCATTCCCCCCACGCAAGGCAAGGACAAGGATCCACGGAAGATAGTGTACAAGTTTGTCTACAAGCGCACTGCCTGGAAGTAGTGTTGGATCGAACTGCAAGCTCCAGCTCTTCTATTTGAAGTCTGAGCTCTGTTTTGTGACATACGAACACTGAATATCCTCGTAGAGTTCGTTTGAAGTAATTGAATCTAGCGTAGTGACTTACGGATCAGGCGGATGGATTAGTTGTCCGGAAAGTTCTCAGCCGTTTTGGGTGTTTCTTTTGACGAACGTGCGTAACTTTTTAAAACTCATCGATTGATTCGAAATAGGCACCATTCGAATCAGCACACTTTTGCCAATGTGACAGCAGTCGAGAAATCCCATCAAAGTAAAAACTGGGTGGTCGAAAATTCACGAAATCCACTAAGGCTTTTTTGCCTGGTCCTGATTGATGAAGTATTTTCCAGCAAGGGAGTTCTGAAAATGTTAGAAAAGGTGATAGTCGGTTGGCGAAAGGTCTGAAGATATGCGGTTGAGGTAGAACTTCAAACCCCGCAATTCGTTCAATTTAATTGGATAGTGATTTGTGAAACGTGTGGGCGGGCGTTGTCATGCAAAGGAATCGGACCCTTTCTTTTGATAAGTGTTGGCTGCATCTGACAAAATTTTCGGTACAATTCGTCGATTTCTTCACAGTAGGGTTCTGCTGTGATGGTTTGGCCTGGTGATAAAAAGTTATAGTGGATCACACCAGCCGATGACCACCAAGCCGTGACCAGAATCTTTTTTTCGTGAGGGTTCGGCTTTGAAAATTACCTCGGTGGTTCGTCGAAATCCAACCACTGTCCGGAACGTCTCCTGTTATCATACATGACCCATTTTTCATCACAGGTGACAATTCGGCCCAAAAACAGGTCGTTTCTGCTGCGCAAAAGCAATGCAGAAGGAACCTCGAGACGTGCCAATTTCTGCCGGTCACTCAAATTGTGGGGCACCCAATTGTCGAGTTTTTTCACCTTCCCAATGCGTTCCAGACCATCTGCAACAGTGGATTTGCCAAGGCCTAGCTCTTCTGCTATCTCTCGAACTGTTTGGGATGGGTCAGCCCTCCAAAATCCCCCTAAAATCCTCGTCAGATATTGCTTAGGTCGACCGCTATGAGGTTCATCTTCAAGGCTGAAATCTCCAGAACGAAATTCGTTGAGCCATTGTCGCATAGTGCTTTCTCTAGCACTATTGATCCCTCACACCAGGTTAATTTGTTGAGCTGTTTCGATTGCAGATTGCCCCAATTTATAGTCGAAGAAAAAAATCGTCCGAAGTGCTCTTTTCACATGCTTGAAAAAATCTTGAAAAAAGGGGGTTTATCAAGCAATGGTGAAACGGCAATTATACCATCAGATAGCGCAAAGAATTCTCTACAGGATGTGCT